CACACACACACACACACACACACACACACACACACACACACACACTATGTCTCTCTATCCTTGTGGGGACTTTCCTTTGACTTCTGTTCATTTTTTGGAAATTTTATATCCTAACCCKGACCATTTACCCTAACATTAACCTCACAGGTCCCTAACTGACCCTAAAACTAACCTAAACACAATTCACACCTTGGGCCTAAACCTACCTGGACTGGGAAGAAGGTGGCCCATGTGGTCTATGTTCTCATAAGGACCCAGCCCAGGAACTGAGACACAGCACCTGTTAATTATTGAATTTGCTAGTAGATATTAGCATCTGTAGAATACACTGTGTTGTTATACAGACACTCTGCTCAGCAGAATCATGCTACAGTTTAGCACAAACTGTTAAATAGTACAAGCTAGTATTGCCTCTGATTGTGTAATAATTACACAGTGTACAATAATATTATCTATATGATTATTTTTAAGTTTCTATAAGACAAACATGATCTGTTGAGTTAACAAATAGTAGAGACAAGTTTCATCCTTTAAAGTTTAAGTGTTGGTTTTGCAGTGAAGATTTTCTAAGTATCAACTACATAACAGGTAAATAATAATAAATATGCTTTATTAATGATAAAGTATAAAGTACACATGGGATGCTACTAGGATCTGACCTTTGGGGGTGCTTAGCCCCCAGCAGGGCTAAAGTCCAACAGAATATATTTGTTGGTGCAATTTTCTAAATCTCACTGCTTGTTATATACATACATACAGTWTACAAAATTAAATAGTTTTGTCCAAATAAAACAGTTAACTAGATATTGAATTTAAATAGAATCTCAGAAGCCTGTCAAACCTGCTAACATCACAGAGAGACATATTTATGTTAGCAAACAGCTGTGTAGTGAGCCAGTTCTAGGGGGGTGTGGGGGCAGCTCAGACATGTCCATTGACTCAGCTGACCTGATCCTGAGGGTCAGTTGCAACAACTGCAGGCTAACTTAGAGCAAAACAGGATACAGTGTCTGTAACATGACCTTTCAACACATGTGTTTTTTATTTTTTATTTTCACCACACCTTTCACTTTTTTGTTTCATCTATAAATGCAAAACACCACACAGGTGTGGGGAGGTATATAAAACTCTGCAGTCTGCAATCAGTTATTTGTCGTTTCTGAATTATTTACTATAGTTTCCATCCATCCATCCATCCGTCCATCCATCCATCCATCCATCCATTCATTCATTCATTCATTCATTCATCCATCCATCCATCCATCCATCCATCCATCCATCCATCCATTATTTTCTGCTTATTCCAGCTCGGGTCGTGGGGGCTGCAATTTGTGCAGGGAGGCCCAGACCCCCCCCCCCCCCCCCCACCCCTTTTGAGACAAGTTTTGATACACATCCTTTTTTTTTACATAAACAAAATAAATTCATGTCACAATTACAGCTCACCATTGTCTTATTTTGAAMGTTATTAATTTTCCACAAGAGAGATTAAGCAGAAAATAAAGTTGAAGMTGTTCCAAGAGCAATAATAAAATAAGATTTAAATCACCTTTAGATATTACAAGACTAATGACTATGTTTGCAGTGAGTTCACTCCTCATTAATCTTAATTATCTAACTTCCTCTCTCACTGATCCAAACTGCAGTTAAGGCACTTAATTACAGCAAAAACGTGCAGAAATKATTAACTTTGTTGGGTTTATTATATGTTCAGATGATCACAATGTTATATTTTGAAACATTTTTAGGCATAGTGCTTTACTAGTACAACTTTATGGTTAGTTTTTCATCATGAAGGACAGATGCTTCAGTGTAGTTTTAGATTTTACTGCTCCTTAGAAAATGCCAAACCCTGAAGCTTACTGCAAAGAAGATCCAAGTCCTTCATTTAACTGAACTCTCTCTGGGGCTCCTGTGTGAGAGCCAGCTGTAATCCACTCTGTCTGCTTTCTGCTCATCACTGTAATGAGGACCAACACTCCACACTTTACCCTTCAGCTTCTGCAGAGGACATTATAAAGGATGATTCACAGTTTTGAAAGCTGCCACCCTCTGTTTGCTGTAATTTCTTTTGTCCTCTGTCTTTGTGCCAGYTTTGCTGTTTGTGATTTGGGTGGTGTGGTCAGTCAGTCTGCTTGTTGTTCAGAGAGGGTAACTCATCCACAGGTGATATGATATACAGGGTATATGTGTGTGTATGTATGTATGTATGTATGTATGTATGTATGTATGTATGTATGTATGTATGTATGTATGTATGTATGTATGTATGTATGTATAGAGAGAGAGAGAGAGAGAGAGAGAGAGAGAGAGAGAGAGAATATATAGTTGTGTTTTGTATAGATGGCACCCTTTAAGGCTGCTACTAGTGAGTTAAAGGCAAAGCAGGATGTAGTTTGTGCTTTACAGAGTCCATTCAGTACTACAGACATCTGCTTACATGTCTCATGAAACAAGCTGAATTCAGCATTCACATCATGCATCACAAAACCTGTGMACCTGAGCAGCATGTTGGCGACAGTAAAAMGGACTYACTTTTAACTGGAAAAAACCTCSAGCAGAACCAGGCTCAGGTGGACATATATGACAAGAGGACAAACAGCAAATGATAAAGGTGTTCCTACTGGAAGAAAACAAAAAAATACAACAACTGCCTATATGCCACGGTTATTAATGACGTATTTCCGGTGAAATTCTTGCCACGCTCCTCCCTTCCACTTAATTAATTCATTAACTAGCTATCATTTCATTCATTTGATCCGTATTAAACTATAGGCTATTTCTCTGAACAGAGGTCATTCAAAGTGCTATCTACAACAGGTTAGACATTTATTGTTTATAAACCTTCCACGGGACCCTACTTAAAGATATTTGAACTGTTTCAAGTGTGAAGAGTTGTTCCAGAAAGTACTGAACGACCTTTCTTTCCTCACACTGTCTTTTTATGAACCTCCATCTCTGCAGAGGTGTGTACTGACATCTGAAGGAGCTCTTACCCAACATTAACGTGGTGTCTACGTCTTGTCTGTCCTCCTTGCCACTTTGGTTATTATTCCCCTCATGTCTCTGGATGAAGTGTTGTCACACAGCACTGGACTCATCCTCCTCATAGGTGTCATTTTTAAGGGTTCCTGTCTGATTGCAGACAAGATTATTAGCAAGGTCACATTTCACTATGTTGTAGTGTTCAGCGGGGTCTGTGTTCAGAAAACTCCACATTTGTCACCTTAAGAGAGAAAACAAAATGTTGGCTGCATCTCTCAAATGCTATTTGTTTTTTTTTCCTCTCCATCACCTTGGCATTAATGCAAATCTGTAATCTTCTACTGGAAACAGCTGTCCTTGCTGCCCTATTTTTTTTAAAGGAGACTATAGTTTACACTCAGCATATTTCACATTGAAGGCAGCTTTAATAAAAGATCTCCACTRCCCTCTTGTGGTTCCCCACCTTGTGTGTGACATCACTGGTTTCTACACTGCTTTGTTTGTGCTGTTTACAGAGGGGAACTGGTGACATATTCAGGTTTTAAACAAGCATTGACTGGCACACATTTGAACTATTTCAACAAATCTTTTAGAAAAAATGTGTTTATTGAATTCTGGTTCAAAACCCCTCCCAGAAATCACACTCACCATAGCTCAAAATACAAAGATTTTATTTAAATGTACAGTTTGAGAAAGTCAACGTTATATAAAAAAATCTACACTTTATATATTTCTAATCTAGACTTAGGAAAATCATTATACAAACAGAATTAGTTAATTGTTACAAGCCTCTCACAGTCACACAGTCACTCTCACTCAGTCACTCTAAATACTGGTTCTTTATTGTAGCACCTTTGTGATTCAGTTTCAAGGTTGTGTTATGATTGTAATCACAGCTACCCTTTTTATTTATACTGCATATCAGTGCATGAGCAAAACCTTTGGGTTTTACATTTCAAAAAACAGGATTTGTCGTACAAACCCACTACAGCTGCAAAATATTTACCCCCATAAAATCCAAACATTCCAACAAACTGAACTAATTGAAAGTGAACGTGTCGCCTCGGGTGGCTGTTGGYGTCGTCTCTAAACTGTATGTCGGCTCCTTCAAGGTGCAGTTTTTTACTTCTCCTTTTAGCTCAGACAGCTGCTGAGCGTGGCTGGAGAGAGTCTCGTTGACGTGAAACAGAAGGTTGTTTGATTGTTTCTCCAGCTCCGCCCTGATTCGCTCCAGGTCTTCAGCCAAGTAGTTCAAGCCCTTACACTGATCTTCCACACTTGAAACACGGCCACCAACCTCAGTCACCTCTTTTTTGACCACCATGGCCGTACTCCGGCATCCTCTCACCTCCTCAGCTAGCCGCCTTTTCATCTCCTGCAGCTCACCTTTTAGCCGAGTCAGTTTGCGCTCACCCGCCCCAAGCATAGAGGCCTGATGTCCAACCAGCTGGACCACGCCCTTTAATTGTTGGGCCAGACGAACCTCTCTCTCATGCCAGGAGCTGTTAGCTTCTCCCACCTGATGGACCACTGTTCCCATAGAGTCCTGCAGGTTTATCAGGGTGTGGTTGACTGAGCGAATACTGAACTTGAGGACCGTTAGCTCTGCCTGGAGGGGTGAATTTCCATCTGCGTGTATCTGCTTCTCCCTGAGGGTCAGGTTCTTCAGAAGGTCCTGCAGTGTATTGTTTAGACTTTCCAAACGGTCGACCTGCATGTCCAGTACCTCCTTCACATTTTTTTGTAGTGTCTGGGTTTCACTTGGCCCAGCAGAGTCTCCCTGAGTGTTGCAGTCTTGGGTCGAAGAGCAGGAAGAGGAGCAGAGAACCTCGAGGCTGCTCAGATGTTTTTGCACTCTGTCTACGTCCAGCTCAAGTCTCCCTCGGAGAGACTCCAGCTCTGTTTCTAGTGCTGGAACAGCATGGCCCTCCAGCAGAGCTGGGGCAGTGGCATTACCAAGCTCCTCCAAAGCTGACAGTAAGCGGTCTTCTAGGGCTCTCAGCTTACCCTCCATTCTGGCCTCCAAGCCATGCCCCACTACAATGCTGTCTAAAATACCCTTCCTCCTTTCAGACTTATCGCTCTTAAGCTTCCCGGTCAGGTTGAGCTTGGTTTCCACATATTTAAGACGCCCCTCCAACATTCCCTCTATATGGTCCCTGTGACCACCAAACTTCATGCTCAGATGTCCCTGAGATTGGTTGAGGCTCGCCACTGAGGTTTCCAGCTGCTGGACTCTTTCTACCAGTCCACTAATTCTACCACAGCACTCCTCTGTGGCTGGTAAACCATGGATCATTGCCTGGAGGGCTCCCAACTCACTTCTCAGCTTTGTCGTGCTGTCTTCCATAGCGTCTCTCATGTGCTCTTGTTGCTGACGGTGCTCCTTCTGGCATTGATGATGCTCATCTCCAGCTTTCTCCTTGCATCGTTCCTCCGAACTAGCTATGCGCTTCTCAAACCCGTCTAGAATTTCTACACTGATCGCTCTCAGTTTGGCATCCATCAGATTAGCTACAGTTCCCCCATTATTGTCAGTGGAGTCTGACACCACTCCTGATCCATTTGAAATCTTCTTCAGTACTCCATCATGTCCCATTACTGTCGCTTTAAGCTCCTGCAGCTCTGCTGTTTTAGCTCGCAGCTCTGTCCTGAGCTCTTCCACCCTTCCATATAAGTCTGTGAGGCCTGAAAACATGTGACTTCCATCTAAACCCTCTGTGTCAGGGTCTCCTCCAGGGATTTCTACAAACCCTATAGTGGATGGGTTTAATGCTGTAGCTGGAGCCGTAATGGTACCAGGAGCAGTTGAGAGCAGAGCCAACAGCATCCTGTTGGCATCCTCTCTCAGTGATGCTCGTAGGCTATCCTCCAGTCCTGTCACAGTTCCCCTCAGAGTCTCCAGACCCTGACTTAGACGGCGCATGTCTTCTTCCATTCGAAATATCCTCTCCTGTGTTTCGCTGTCGAGAGGTTGGCCTGATGATTGAGAATAGAGCTTTTAAGTTTCCTACTAAAATTCATGTTAAAACGTTGTATATAATTTGTTCAAAGTCCATTGTTAATTTGTTGACAAAACTGTGGACTTTTCTCACTTTTTTAAATAACTTAAAAGAGTTACAGAMGTTGCTAGAGCTACCTGTGTCCTTACCTGTATATACCCCCTCTGACTGTTCTTCTGCAGGAACAGGGATTTCCTCTGGGATAATTTCCTCAGGTGCCTGGTTACGCTCATGTTCATGTTCTTGGTTGATAACGGAGAGATGTGGATCTTGGTGTTCTGACACTGGCTCAGGTTCAGATGGATACGGCTCAAAAGATGTATCAGGGTATGAAGAGAACCTCGGCCCAAAGTGAGGTACTGGGTAGGAGTTAAAACTGTTGGGAGGTCCTTTTGGTTGACTCCATGGGTTGGCTTTCACAGGAGAATTAACAGGTGAACCCTTAAACTGTGGACCTTTCATTGATGGGCCATTGAATGGTGGCATCATTCTCATAGAATGCTGGTAAACTGGATGTTGCTCCATACAGTCATAGCCAGAATATCCAGGACAACAACGCCACTCCAGCTCCGTGACTGTTTTGTGATCCACCTTGTAAAGTGGCTTGTACAGCAATCGATACCTGAGGGGAACATCCAGTTATTAGCCACATCCAAAATACCTGAATTATATTGTATTCTTATTTTCAGTGAGAGAAGTTGTGTACTTACAACAGCGTTGGACATTTTTTACCCCAGGAACATTGGTTGTAGTCAGCTTTTACATACGGAGCCGCCCCGTCCTGTACAGTGAAGGACACAGTCTTTTCTGTGACAAAGGCACAGTGGTTCCTGAAGAAGAGTAGACAGAAATCGTAACAAATGAGAGATTACTTTGCTTACAATAAATGTATAGTACTTATGTGATGCAGAAAATTCTAATAGCGGACTGATACTCACTGGTGTCTGCTGGTGGGTTTCCCTTGTCCAGAATGTGGATGGAGTCCAGATTTAAACTGATGAACCTGGAATGGATTGTAGTACTTGGCTTCAACCAGTGACAGAAACAAACTCAGTGCAATTACCAAATCCATCCTTGGATATTCACATGTAATTGAAAAAAAAGTGGAAAAAAACATTTGTTTTTTAAAAATAAATTATTGCTGTATCACAGTAGAAAGTATTCCTTTAGCAACAGCAGGTAATACCCAAGATATTTCACCACATTTGTTTCAGACAAGAATTATTTTTTAGCTGCCACTATTTTGAAAAAAAAAAAAAGCACTTTACTACAAAACATGCACTGAATAAAAAGAGTTCAGTCTCTGCTGTTTTGAGCAGATTTCCACCCTGTGAATATTAAGCCTGAGTCTAGGGAGAGGTGGACTCTGTTCGAGTGACAAGAGTCCACTGTGAGTTTAAAGGTYCTTAAAATCTAATAGGCTTCCACCGACACCATCTGCATATCTCCTCCCACCCAGTCTTCTCAAAGTAACACCAGAGTGGCACTGGGGAGAAGAAAAAAAACCCTCCATGTTAAGTTACGGTCAAATCTTGGGTGTTTTGTGGTTTTGAAAATATTTTTAAAAAAGAACTATTTTTATTACACATTTAGTCCATAGGCTCCTTCTACCAATGCCTTAACTGAAGTCACGTTACAAACTTCCCATGGTGATGTCATGGCAAACTAGAGGAAAAAAATAACAGACAGAGTACAACAGTGCACCTTGTTTAAAAGTTACAAATGTGAGTTGTAGTTCACAATTAATGGTCTGTTGTTTGGTCCATTTAAAACCTAAAAATACATCTTGTTTTGTGAATATTTCTGAATGCAGTCACAGCTGAAACATGACAGGAGTATAAAAGGTGGCTCAGTCTCATCTTTCAGTTCATTGGTTGTTCTAAGTGTTTAACACTTTACTCCTGGTAATTTTTGCTTTTTGGATCACAACAGCTGGGAAATATTGCAGATATGATTGTAGTTGTTGAAGGTTTCATCAATTTCCCTTCAAACAATCAGTCTGCATTTATCTCCAACTCTAAAAGTTGTTGATGCAAAACCATTTATTTTGTATATGATTTGTTTGGTACTGGAAAAATATTCTTAAGTTCTCAGTTTTTTTTTTTCAGATGAACTATCAACAGAAAAAAAAAATATTTAACTTAACATTTAAAAATAAAATAAGTTGTCAAAAAGGGAAGAGTCCTTTAATGAAACCTTTAAAGGACATATACAGTATGTGGCATCAACATATTCAATTAGGAACATGTAAACTGTAATTATCCACATTTTTTAGCCATAAGAAGCACGAGCTAACGTTAAAGTTACTAAAAACAACAAAATGAGGTTTAACCTCTTAAATAGCTTTTATTTTTTATTTTTTCTCAAATGCCCTCAAAAAGAGATGTTTTTAAATGGCAAAAAGTAAAACCTAGATTTTATAGAGATATATTTTATTTTTAAAACCAATTAGACCAAACTTAAGTTTAACTGGAAAAAAAATCATTGTTAATTAATCAGAATGCACAATGTTATTCTATTTAAAATGTATACAGGAGGTCACATAATATTTTATGGTAGATTGTTTTAGCTGTGAGGACATTGTTAGGTTTTTGTGAAAACTTGACTGAAGCGAAAAAAGTGCGAAACATCTTTTTATACTTCACACACACACACACACACACACACACACACACACACACACACACACACACACACACACACACACACACACACA